TACCGAGGTTAGGTTCCCATTCAGTATCATGATCACTTCTGTTTAGCAGCGCCACGTGTGTTGATTTGTCAGGTTTGTGGTCTCTAAGTAGGTCACTAATCTGACAGTTGTTTCCTTTTCCAGACGACTTGCATTGATGACAAGTTCTGAGTACGTTCAACGAAGTACTTGTTCGCGCACCGAGTTCCTACTCGCTTGGCTTAGCCATAAACCGCACAATACTTTGTAGCAGAGAGTTAAGTCCGTGAAATCCCAAATCACTCACCTCCTCAGGCCCCCCCATATGACCCAATTGTGTATGCTCGCTATCTAGAGGCTTTCCGATGTTTTTCTCCTTGGTACACATGAATCACAGATTTTAACGTTATGGTTCGTCAAAGGATCGTATAGCATTGCTTCTACCCGTATCGAATTAGTTTCCATATCAGAGATAGACAATTCAAGTGTCTCGATTCTGCTCAGTGACAGGAGGTTGGAGAAACGATGTGTAACGAGTGAATCCCCCCCCCCCCACAGTCGCGCACATAGAATCGATTGTAACGTTTGCGTCCAGGGTAAACCGCATGAAAATGTGATTACTGTTCAGTAGGACTAATCAATGTATCAATGTAATCAATGATGCACAGTAACTCACTTGATCGTAGCCAACAGCACGTCTACCGCTGCCCAAACTTCCATGTTTCAGAGTTACTGTTCTAGTTTCTAGACACGTCTTATTGTTGAAATTGTGAGCAGATTTGGGTTGCAGATTTCGTCCTTCATCCCTACTGAGAATCATCAGCAGTGCGCATCTCACGAAATTCGGGAGTTTCGAACCGACGGCCTTCTAGTCAGTAGTATGAAAACTGAACCCCGGGTGGGAGGTTTAATATCGCAAGGGGAAATTGCAAGGATGCCACTCGACTTTATCTAAAAAAATTCATATTGTAAAAGTGCTGGTCTGCGTTTTAACAGATGGGACTTCTGGAACAGTTTAGACTGTTGTAACAACAAACGTTGGGTCATGCCAGTTCCTCTTTTTCTTCCAGTCAGATCGTCTAGTTCGGGGTCTTTCTCGAACTAAATTCTTTTTGAAAATATTATCTTCTGTATATTTTTTGACGAGTGTAGCATCGGATGCTACTGATGAGACGTGCGAGTAGTATATGGTTTTCTCGTAACTCCACCTTGCGTCCAATGGAAGGTGGGGTTTATTACGGAACTTGTGGAGCTGCTTTATGGGGTTCTTTTACCATTGCGGGAGAGTCAATGAATATCCAGGAAATTTCATGAAGACGAGTGAGGATATTCAGTTTTTATAAACAAGATGTTTGCCTCCCTGCCCGATAGTTTGTAACCCTTTAGTTGGTGTTTGCCAATGAACAACTCCACGGCGAAGGGCTACTAACTTATCCATCAGGCGAATGTTTTTGGTGCGATCGGAAAAACGCGCGACGAGGTAAATCAAAAAAATACGGGAATAAGACAAAATTGCATTGGAGATTTGGTCCGGCAAGTGAAACCAGACTACGCTGAAAGGCCTAGAAGCGCTGTATAGCTGTTTGACCCTTATTAGGAGGTATCATTATTGAGCATCTCACGAAACTACACTGACTCTCGGAAATCCGACCTTTCGGTACGTAGTTTGGCTACAACCAGATGATCAGCAATCTGCTTAAGTCGCTCCGATCGTCCCTTATTCATGGGGTCCAAATTATCTGGTCATTGGTTAGCTGCCCGACCTTTTGGTACGTAGTTTGGTTACGACCAGATGATCAGCAATCTGCTTAAATCGCTCCGATCGTCCCTTAATCATGGTGTCCAAATTATCTGGTCATTGGTTAGCTGCCACCCCTCCCCCCAGACTGTGACTTCTTAGATGGAAGTTCCACTCATCGGACGAATTTACAATAATGTTTATTCCCAAGTGGAGATATTTGGCAAGTCGTTGCTCGGGGAGCCAGTCAACACGTGACCACGTGATGTGCACCCCGTGATCGAAGGATGAGCGGCGCTGTTTCCTGTCTAAGTGCGAGTTAGTCACAGTCCTGGTCAGCAGTTCGTGGCGTAACGCCTAAGTGTTCAAACTGCTAGCCGGGTGGTTGCGGGTTCGGACACCTCTAGAGTTTTGAAATTTCTAATAAGGATGAAACGGCCGTACAGTTTCCGTCAACCTTATGCTCTACCTGAACGGAAATTGCTTCAAAACATCATTAACGAGAGATTTAATCGGGTTCCAGGTTAGTCTCCTGAAAAACCAAACATGTTTGTTAATGAGTGTATTTTGCTAGTTTCGTGCAATTGAGGTTCAACTGGCATGAAAGGTTGACGGAAGCCCGGGTACTGTGCCTACCTGATGAACCCCAAGAAGGATGAAACCGGTCGTGGGCTGTCGAAGAATTTTCAGCAACCTTATAAGTAGTGTATTAAGCCTGTAGATGTACAATGTTTCGCGGCTTTTCCGTTTACGTTAGCTTCACTTGTGGGACGAAATCTTCACTAGAATATTCTTATATTCCCGGTTGCGCCAAGCCAAGCGGCTTACGAAGACAGGTGTTCCGCTTTTCTACAAGGGGATTCTCAGTAACCACGGAAGGCTTTGCGGCTGGCCATACAGCAACTTCGCCTCACTGTTCAACATACCTTAACAACAAGCTAAATACACATATCAGCTTGTTGGAACATCGGTCTTCCGGTAGACTCTTCAAAATCTGACTTAATAAGTGCTTTTAATCAGCTGTTTATACTCAATTTATTGTATGTAAACTAGAAAGTAGTAGCACTTTCCCCGTACTTGGTGATTTTCTGCACTCAGTGAGGTATAACTTCTCTCCTTGGAATGAATTGCACTCAAGTATAGTAGACTCTTCAAATCTGACTTAATAAGTGCTTTTAATCAGCTGTTTATACTCAATTTATTGTATGTAAACTAGAAAGTAGTAGCACTTTCCCCGTACTTGGTGATTTTCTGCACTCAGTGAGGTATAACTTCTCTCCTTGGAATGAATTGCACTCAAGTATAGTTGAGGCACACAGTATTATCTTCTCTTTTTATTTTTGGTCTTCTCAGTTGTTTGTACCAGATAGGATCCAATTGCAAAAGAGGTCACGTGAAAGGCTATTGATCCATTTCTATGATATGATTTATTGGTCGTTTGGGAGCGAGATGACTCAGTGGTTCGAGCGCGAATTTACTGAAGGCTCGTGGTTCGAACCCGACCTACGCTTCTGGACTTCCTCTGCCTAGACTTGGAAACATGTCAGTATCACAGCCCTCGTGCTTTTTTTCTAGTAGATAGGGAGTTAGACATTAACGATTGATCGGTTGGTTGGCAAATCTAAGCATCCTTCTATAAAGGACAAATGGGTTAGGCTGCGATCGGGTTAGTTCCACCTCAAGTCCCTTACGAACTGCGGTCGTCCCATCAGGAGTAAGACTAGATCAAACAGTGTTTTATTATGAATTGCATGGGTTCAGTGTTTCGGGTTCATTCATCTAAACGTATTATCACAGAACACCACTCCTTGTTTAGTCGACCGTCAGCGAACTAGATGCGTGACAACACATTTATTAGTGCATCGAAACCTTCGCTAATTTGAATTAGTCGATTTTTCGGGCGTGCTTGGCTAGGTTTTCTGCTCTTGCTTGAACTGACCTGACAGAATCACACACAGATTTACACCTTTCCCTAGAAATTGACCCCTCACCGTCTTATCGTAACAAAATCGAATGAGCAGAGTCACAAACGCCAGTTTAACTATGTCAGAGAAACGTCTGAGTTTTAATCATGGTATTCTTCACCTGAATGTGCTGCACAAAGGCGGCCTCATGTTTTAGTTGGTACGATATTCGGTATATCGCAACAGGTACAGACGTAATCCACTATTCATAAGATTACTGAAAATTCTTCGGAAGCTCACGACCAGTTCTGCCCTACTTGGGGCTCATCAGGTAGGTACAGTCCACGAGTTTCTGTCAACTTTTATGTTCTAATTGAACCCAAGTTGGACTGTTTTCGAGAAGTACGCTCACTTACAAATCAATTTGGTTTTCACAAGAGACTCAACTGAATCTCTCGTTTATTATATCCTACAACTGAATGTGCTGCACACAGGCCGCCTCATGTTTCATTCGGCACGATATTCGAGATATCGAAGTATATTTCCATGGAGGAAACTACTCACAAGGCTGCTGAAAACTCTTTGACAGCCCACGGCTGCTTTCACCCTTCGTAGGGCTCAACAGGTAGGCAAAGTCCCCGAGTTTCTGCCAACCTTACGTTCTAATTGAACCCAAATTAGACAGATTTCGACAAATGCACTCATTTTCAAATCAATTTGGTTTCTACGAGGGACTCAAGTAAAACTCTCGTTTACGGTCTGTCGAACAGTTTTCAGCTACCTTGTGAGTAGCCACCCTTAACCATGAGCGTTTTTCCTTTTTGATAAGATAATGGTACCAAGAGTCATTTACACATCAAACAGACTCCTCCATAGATTTCGTGTGACCTAGGTTTTTTAGTCAATAGAAACATCCTAGAGCGTCACCATTCAGAAACTCATCGAAGAGTTGTCAGCAACCTTGTGAGTAGTTTCCTCTATGGAAATATACTTCAATATCTCGAATATCGTGCCGAATGAAACATGAGGCGGCCTGTGTGCAGCACATTCAGTTGTAGGATATAATAAACGAGAGATTCAGTTGAGTCTCTTGTGAAAACCAAAGTGATTTGTAAGTGAGCGTACTTCTCGAAAACAGTCCAACTTGGGTTCAATTAGAACGTAAAAGTTGACGGAAACTCCTGGACTGCACCTACTTAATGAGCCCTAAGAAGGACGAAACCGGTCGTGGGCTGTCGAAGAGTTTTCATCAACCTTGTGAGTAGTTTCCTTTATGAAAACTCATTGCACATTTACTCACCTATTGCGGTCGCAACTTCCAGAGGAATAAGCAGAAAACTTGGGATGTACACATATTCGCAGTGTATTTAACACGTGTATGCGGTAAAACATGGATGAAGTCAATATATTTCCTCTTCTGACTCCTCATCACGGTCATCGGTAATGTCACTCCACCTTGACACAATTCTTGGTTGCGCTTTTGAGTGCTTCGCCGCACGCAGAGCTCTCTTCCACTTCAACATTTCCACATTAGGTTCGTCCCCGTGGTCATCTTGAGCGTGGGTTGTTTCTGTGGCCGTTTTAGGGCTTGTCGTGCTTTGCTTACGAAGAATTCCCTTTTTGTGAGATTTGATGATATGACTTAGTGCTTCGTCCACAGTAGCTCGGGGCTTCCCGTATGCACCAATGCTGGCTCGGCGTGTTGATCGGATATGATCCACGAGTTGGGCAGCGACTTCAGCAAAAGTTTGTTTTTCTCTGCCTGTTTCGGCCCATCTACCTCGTTTTTGGACAAACATGGGTCGGGTGCCTGCTCCTTCCTCAATGGATGCTGACGAATCAGATGTGATCATCCTCTTCATGTACTTGGCCTTCAGTGCCTCGGGAATGTCCTCCAGTATTACTTCGGTCTGGCTTGGTTGCAGAGAAGCGTAGTGTAACTTTAGCTGTGAGTAGTTTCCCTTTATGAAACTCATTGCACATTTACTCACCTATTGCGGTCGCAACTTCCAGAGGAATAAGCAGAAAACTTGGGATGTACACATATTCGCAGTGTATTTAACACGTGTATGCGGTAAAACATGGATGAAGTCAATATATTTCCTCTTCTGACTCCTCATCACGGTCATCGGTAATGTCACTCCACCTTGACACAATTCTTGGTTGCGCTTTTGAGTGCTTCGCCGCACGCAGAGCTCTCTTCCACTTCAACATTTCCACATTAGGTTCGTCCCCGTGGTCATCTTGAGCGTGGGTTGTTTCTGTGGCCGTTTTAGGGCTTGTCGTGCTTTGCTTACGAAGAATTCCCTTTTTGTGAGATTTGATGATATGACTTAGTGCTTCGTCCACAGTAGCTCGGGGCTTCCCGTATGCACCAATGCTGGCTCGGCGTGTTGATCGGATATGATCCACGAGTTGGGCAGCGACTTCAGCAAAAGTTTGTTTTTCTCTGCCTGTTTCGGCCCATCTACCTCGTTTTTGGACAAACATGGGTCGGGTGCCTGCTCCTTCCTCAATGGATGCTGACGAATCAGATGTGATCATCCTCTTCATGTACTTGGCCTTCAGTGCCTCGGGAATGTCCTCCAGTATTACTTCGGTCTGGCTTGGTTGCAGAGAAGCGTAGTGTAACTTTAGCGCGATTTTCTCATAGACACGCATCAGTTTGTGATCATACATTTCCGGATTGCGTTGAAGTATTCGTCGAACATACTTTTCGTCCAAACGTATGAAAAAGTCCCGTACAACATTTCGACCTTTCTCTGCAGCAATGATTTCCACAGACGACAGAGCTTCATCCAACACATTCTCATTGAGTACATTGAAAAGACTTAGTTTACGTTTTGTCTGTATACGAATTTTGAGCAGTTTGACTAAAGGTTTCATTGTGACTCCCATGAAACCGACAGTGAATAGAATGATGAACATGGTGGCCGTGATCATCACATGTCGGCTGTAATGTCCGCTCGGTCCGAGACTTTCAGGGACGATGAGGATAGACAAGGAAAACGAAACGGCACCGCGTAAACCCCCGTAAATCAGGACCACTTGTTCAGTAAAAGAAATTTTCGTGTTGTCCACTTGTACGGCATTAACTGCAGCTGTGATTGCCAAGACAACGATGGCACGGGAAAAAAGACAGAGTACAAGACTCCACAAGATGAAACCTGATTGCCATTCGATATTCCCTCTCAGGACCTCGACCCCGAGGAAGAGAAATATGACAGACTCACTGACTTCGGCAACCAGCTTTGTGAGTTTATGTACTAAGGTGACGGATTTGTGATCCAAGTTGTGAAACGCGTAGGCCGCTTGAACTAGGCCACATCCGATCATGGAGATGATCCCGGACCAGCCGACACAGTCTGCCATGATGTAGGAGAAGTAGGCCAGCAGAATGAGCGTAAATGCGTTCAGATGGCTTTTTATTCGCGTGATGAGACAGGACAGGATTCCCACAACGACACCTATAAGCAGTCCACCAAAGCTGACCGTGAAGAACGATGCGATTCCAACAGCAATTTGTCGCCCTGTCACATTATCCGTCCCAGCAAAGGCCGACATTATATCATATAAGACCACAGTGACTGCGTCGTTGAGTAGTGATTCACCAAACACAATGTAATAAAGACTGAGTTCAACTCCAATATCTTGAAAAATAGCTAAAACAGCGACCGGGTCCACAGCAACAATCAATGAACTGAACAAAAGCATTCCTTTTAAGTCAAATTTGTCCTTGATGTCACCCATTGCTCCGACCAAAAGTAGCCCGTTCATACAAAAACCAATTATTAAAAAGTTCACAATGGTTCCCACCACGGCAAATATCAGTACCACACCAAGGTACTCGCTGAAAGTTCGATTGTACAATGAATAGGATGCCTCGAGGATAATCGGAGGAAGGAGGTAGTAGAAAAACAAACGAGGGGTCAGTTGCCAAACGGTTTCTCCAACTGTATTCGCACTTATTACATATCGGACAATCGCGCCAAATATAATTCCAACAATGATTAATAGCAGTGATTCTGGAATGTACTCTGGCAAGTAAGGGATACGATGAAAGATCATTTTCAGTAGAATCATGGCCAACAAAAAAAGGATCACAGTGATGTGGACTACGAATTCTTGGAACTCCCATTTGGCTGCGGCAATTTCTGCCATGTGTCCGTCAACCGGTGCTTCACTGGATGACGATGTCGTCGAAACCGCCAAAACGAGAAATCCCAAATAGAACCACACGTATAAGCATGGTATGATATTGTTCATCGTATCATTCGACCAAGTGGTTTTTTTCTTATCACAAATGTAGTTTGTATTTTTGAGTTAAGTTTAACAACAACCGAGAAGAACATTCATCCGTATTGTCCCTTCATTTATTCCAGCCATTCTGAACAGGAATATTGACGTCACATATTTTGGGCTCTGATTGGCTGGTTCAACAACGCGTTGGCAACATAATTGGACTGACAAGGACACACGACCATTCCAGTGATTGGCTAAAATTTTGTTTGTTTGTTGTGTTGGGATGACCTGATTACGGAGGTCGTTCAGTACAAGCGCATGAAAACACCTGGTGTATGAATTCGTCCTGGGGTGTCAGTTTTCCATGAGCTAGTCCGATGGGACACTTTAACTGCTTCGTGTTCCTGTCAGGCTCACAAAACCGTTTGTTTTCTACAGTTCCTTCCAATTTCCATTGGATTAATTTGTCGGTTTGCACACGGTTGAAAGAGAATTACACTTTCTATGAAAAACGTAGGGGGCGAGATGGCTCAAGTGGTTAGAGCGCGGATTTACTAACCATAAGTTCCCTGGTTCGAACCCGACCTCTACCCCTCGATTTCCCTATCTAGGTTTGGGCAACCTGGCAGTATCCCAGTCCTCGTGCTTCCTTCGGGTGGCATGGCAGCTAGACACTGGAGGGGCGTTACAGCTGAACGATTGTAAAAAGTGTGAGATCGGTCAGGATATTGGTTACCGTGTCACACTTATGAATCCGACGTGTGTGCTTTCGCGGAGTACTATTGGACGACCACATGTTGTCAACATGAAAGGCAGTCTGGAACACATATGTGGCCAGGCTAAGAGCATACCATCCACAGTATCGCAGTTCCAATCCACCAATGCCCTTATAGTATTTGTTGAAAATTCTACCTTCACCAAATACAGATGGCTGGCGATTAGCAGTGAATCCTGGTTACCACAAATCTGTTCGGTACTGACGAGGGTATTTAAGGCTTAGTCGTGAAGTGGTCTGGCTACCCAGTAAGTTACTTTACCAGGAGTGTGTAGCATAGGAATAAAAATAACAACGCTAGATTGGGTATGCAATAATAAAGAGGTCGAATGGAACAGACTAACTAATAATTGTTCTCTCTAAATTAGTTCGTCGTTGGCCCAGGTCAGCGAATAAACAATAATCCAATTATGGTGGTCCGGGGGTCTTCTTCTGAACAGTTCCCACAAATAATTGATTCCGAAGATAGTCTGAAATGTTTTGATACCAGAGTTAGCACGTGAGACTCGCGAATGACCGCTGCAAGCGCGACCGAAATCAGAAGAGAGAGTCGAAGCACGTGACCACGCTTGTATTGCGTGAAATTGTACAAGTGCGCGTTTTGTAGTTTTTCGTGTTCAAACGAAAAACGATTATGCAACTGACCAAATACGTAATATTATAATGGAAGCAAAATAAAGGTACAAAACACCAGAGTCGCATGTTGAAGGTGGTATAAATCCAACTCCGTCTAAGTGCAAGTTACCGACTGACGTAATAGCCATTCAAATCTTTCCGTTTTCAAACAACCCGGTTTAAAGGGTGACAGTCGAAGTTTAGGTTATGGCAGAAAATGGTTACTTAAATTCAGCGATATGAGTAGTATAACTATGGTGTCGAGATGGAATTGACACAACACTAGGCTTAAACGATTGTTGCAAGGTATTTTCAATGCTTGTTGCACATATTCAGAGATTTGTAATCATGTGATGGGATTTGTCTCGGTGACAGCTTGCCTTTTCCTCAGATTCTTTTGGAATGCGTGACCCAAAAGTGAGTAGCGGACTTTTCTGGAAAAGTTTACCGGTATCCGTGTATTCGTTTACAACAAATAAATTCATTCTGGTCGTTATTTAATTGATGATGTCACATAAGTCTACAACCCCGTCTCGTAATGTTTGCCGACATACTAACTGTCTGTGTAATGCACTACTCATAAGGTTACTGAAAATCTGTCGACAGCCCACGACCGGTTTCGGCCTTCTTGGGGCTCATCAGGTAGGCGCAATCCCCGAGTTTCCGTCAAACTTATGTTCTACTTGAACCCACATTGGACTGTTTTCGAGAAATACACTCATCTGCTAACCAGTTTGGTTTTTCGAGAGACTCACCTGGTGCCCTGCTGAATCTCTCGTTTGTGATGTTTCCAGGCAGCTGAATGTGCTGCACCAGGCCGCCTCATGTTTCGGTCGCTACGATATTCGAGACATCGCGATACGTGCATATTCATAATGGATTCCAGTTGAGTCTTTCGAAAAACCAAATTAATTTGCAAATGAGTGTATATTACTAACTGTCTTGTTTGACTGCATTAAATATAGTCCACGAAAGATTGCGTTACTAGTGTACGCGGATTTCGCTACCAGGTTGAATGCTTTCCAGACTAGTGAGCTCTACTCACAGTTGTCATCGTTGCCGTCCTTTTCCGAAGCCCATTATCTGGGCGTTCGTTTAAACTTTTGATTTTCCAAGCATTTTTTTAATGTACAGTGATGACTATTCAACCAACCTGTTTACTGCGCCTACATCGTGATTTTTTGGAAAACTGTAGAGCTCAAGGATTCCAGCTGTCGGAATTTGAATCTTTGCTCCGACGGTGAAATATGACGTTTTGTGTGACCGAAAAGGTGCCCTTTCGCAAACTTCTGTAACAGCAGGTTGTGTTGCCGAACCATTCGTAATGACGGGCAGTACTTAGCTAGTCTATGCTCGTTCACCGGGCCAAACGAGGCACCGAAATACAGCTTCATGTTTTGTCTGTGCACGTTCAAGTCGCGGTGTAGATAGGATAGAAAAACTGGTGCACAGTACGGCCGGAAGCCAGCAGCTGAGTGCAAGGCCGTGGATGGAAACCGGTTTGTCCAAATATGAGCTCAAAAAGTGGCCCACTAATCTACCCAGGTCTATTTAAAATGTGGGAACGCGGCCTGATAGACTCGTTTAACTCTAATAAGCAGGTTCAGTGGTTTTCGGTTTCACTCTTCCGGAGTTTGACGTTCCCATAGGTACGTTTCATTTGGACAAGCAAGTTGCCTGTCCACGACTACTCGTAAACTGGGTATTTCACGAGTATATTTTGTTATAAACAAACCTTTAAGCAGGGGTGTGGTCACGTGATCCAGGTACAATTAGATTTTCGTTGTCATCATTATCCACCACCTTTTTCACCCCACTTATTTACGCATTCATTACGAGGCAATCATCCAGATGGTGGCTGAATGTAACTTGAAATCTTGGCGACGGGCTGGAACCGCTGACCCCCCGTTTACCCGTTGGATGAACGACTGAGGACATTTGTATCTGAACTTCATGGTTAACTCGCTAAATTAGCTTACCGGACGTAGGTGAACTTCATAATACCTTACGTTTCAGAAGGGCTTGGCAAACAACCGACAGTTTTTATTTGGGCAACGTCTCGCTTTTGATACAAAAGCTCTATCAGGCCAAGTGAGTGGGCCACCAAATTGGACAGGACAGACGGAGAACTAATCAGTAGGACCTCTTCATTTTAGTGTCAATGAACGGCTCATGTCGATTGGTGTAGTTGTCAAAATCTTGCGTTGATGGATTGGGAGAGTTTCAAATTAACTCTGATCGAGAAATCCATACTCATTTGCAAATCAATTTGGTTTTCACCGGAGACTCAGTTAAATCTCTCGTTTATGATGTCCTCCAGCTGAATATGCTGCAACACTCTGATCGAATTCGGTTCGTTAATCCTCCACTTCAGGGTGCTTCAAATGACGATTCACCTCGGGTGCCACTAGCAGATTTCCCTTGATCTTTGTGGGGTTGTGAGTGCTGCGACAATTTAGTTTGGGGATGGGGTGAGGTCAAGTCGAGTTCAGATAATGACCACTCCCCCTTCTGATGACCGCACACCAACACGTGTTAGCTCGACTGATCCAAGGCGCCCGCCAGTTTCACGCTTTCTATTCTGTTATCTGCTTGGCGATTTCTATCGCCTCGGCCATCAGTCTCTGTGATGTGAATCGTAGTCCTCGACTCAAAACCTCAATATTTTCTAAATCTGCTTTGTGTTCCATGTTCACTGCATGTTCTGCAATCAACACAGGTACCAGTACCATTCGTAATTGACACTCGATCAAACTAATTGAATATCCATTATTCCGAAGTTTGTTCTTCACTTGGATTTGGGCTGCTGTCCGATCAGCTTCTTCTGTGCACAGGGCTCTTACACGCTTAAAAATTGATGAGGCATTACTGGTGAACACCGACTTCGGATGGGCAGTGTCGGTTGGCTTCTGGTACACTGTTGACTTTCGTTTCCCCCAACCTTATGTGTCATGCAGTCTAAAAAGGCCAGTGTACCCAAGGTTGAATCTATCTCCATACTAAATTTGATGTGTGGACTCATTTCATTCGGATAGTTGTAAAACTCACTAACCTTGTCTGGTTTCATCACGACGAAAGTATCATCTGCTTGGCGTCAGAATATCTAAGATGGGCATGACAATCCGGCTGAAGATCTCTGTTCAAATTTTTCCATGAATATATTTGCCAAAACCGGGGATATTGGAGATCCCATTTCTAGACCTTGCTCTTGAGTGTGAACCACAGAGTCGAATACGAAGTGGGCGAGATTCAGGCATGCTTTTATACCTTCTACTATTTTATCCACCGTGTGCTGTATCCGTTCTGAAATGGTGGTGTCTGCTAGTAGCAGTCACTCAGCTATTTCTAAAAAGTCCCTTTTGGGCACATTTGTATATAATGATTTGACATCGAAACAAGGATGTCATCTGGTTCAACGGTGACCCCCGCTACTTTGTTGGCAAAGTCATACGAGGGGTTTAAAATACCGGCCAAGAATCTGACCAGCTCATGTGGTGGTGAATCTATTCCGTCTACTATCGGTCTCACCGGGACATCCGGTTTATGGATTTTTGGAAGGCCATGCAGTCATGGTTGGATCGCACTTTTGGGGTAAAATCGATACCAGTTACCTTACCCTAAGTGGCTTGTCACA